AGATCCAGATGGATATGTACATACACAGATTAATTTCTACAACAGAAAAAAATTGCACTTCTATACCTTGTTGGGTATGTTTTTAATTCTGTCAGTTAATTTAATACACTATTCACGGTACAAATAAGCAACAATCACCTCTCAGACTCAAAGGGTAGAACCCAAGTATAGCAGCACCATTAGCTTCTGTCCAATGCACTTATTGCTAACTACAGCCACTGTCACTCCAGTTCTGGTGCAGAAATGCATAAAGCAAGTCCCAAATCAATTCAGGATGCCATTCCATTTGTCCATTTCATCACAGTTTTACTGAATCAGCCAATAAAGCTCTGTTCTCTCAAGGGTCATTGTCAATGTGACAGTCATTTAAAGAAAAAAAATAATCTTACAATTATTTCCAAATAAGAAGTGTGTCCATCAGCAGACTCAGGGTTTTTTTTGACAATTCAGTTATTTTATTCTGTTACTTTTTAACTATCCTTTTTTCCCCCTGTTCCTTTATAGAAACTCCACAAAAGGAAGGAAATTTACAGATTGATTTTCAGGGAAAGCAATAAATCTGTGTAAAAGTGTTATCACAGACACAGAGTAAAGAAACTGAAAATAATGGAAACTTGCTCTTCCTATTTATTTCCAGTTTTAATAATCTTACAGTCAATTGTTACAACAGGAGAACAAATATTTTAAGACAAAAGAGTGCTTTCAGAGTTGGTCATAATTCATAAAATGACAGATTTCACCTGTAGTTCAATAAACATCAGAGTATCTGGCAAAACTTGAATAAAGAGTTGCATGCTGCGATCAGATAGACATGCAGCACTGAAGCCAAAGGAAATTGTGGCTGTAATCCTGCAACTGAATCTCTGCAGATGGCATCTCCATGCAGTAAATGGGGCTTCCTATAGGTGCAACAGTCTGCTTGTGCAGATCTGAACTGGGAAGGATGTATGTAGCTGAAAGTCCCTCGAGCTGTTAAGACTCTGGCTTTGCACAGCACTACTGCATTGCAATGACTACGTCTAGAAGTAAATGAATGCAGGGTATGCATAAATAAAATTAAATATTTGTGATGTGGCATTGTGTTTCAGTACATACATAAAAATTCTACCTAAAAGGATATTATCCTATTTTTTTAAAGCTTCTATTCCCCCCGATAAACTGATAGGAGAGAGACTGTCCTCTCTCCAGTCTTTACACTCTCAGGTTCTGAATCTCTTCCTCTTCAAAAACTTATGTGGATTGTTCCAGTTAAAATTAACATTTCTCCCTGCCCAGACTGAACAACTGAAAAAGGCTTGTCACAATCAAGCACTAAGCTACAGCATTTTATTGTCATAACTCTAGCTCAGAAGTCAGGCTTGAGACTTCAAGGACGTACCAAACAGTCTCGTTTCTGATTAGGAGTGCTGATACTGCAATACCAATGCCACGTTTCTGCCTAAAACGCTGGAGTTCTCACTGCCATTCAAAAACTAAAGCTTGTGCTACCAGCTCAGCTAACGACAGCAGAGTAACTACTGCCCTGATAAAGGGTCAAACAAAACAAAACCTGCACCCTGACCACCTTCCTCATCTTCACTTTTTTTTGCAACCTGTTACATTTACAGCTTTCCTGCAGAAGCAATCTGGACAAAAGTCTGTCTTTTCCTCCAGAAAGGTTTCATAAAGTAGTTATTTCTCCCACCAAATCTCAACACTTTCCCTTCTGAAAGAGTCTGTTCAGACATCAACATTAGCTGCCTCCAGAGTTGCATCAATGACAAAGGAACACTCACCTCAAAGCCACGACACAAAGCCATGCCTAGGATTTGAACCCAAGTCCCTGCTATTGCTACTAAATAAACCCATTGGATTTTTTTTTTTTTTTTTTTTAGGAAATAAATCTTGGATGCCACTTTTTTCACTTCTGACCACATACAAAAGCTCCATCTACATTTGCATTAGTCCAGTGCTGCACAGATTCATGTTGCTTTACTAAGGAGTATTTAGCTACCAAATGAAGGGAAAACTCAATTTACTTGTTGCTGTTGATTATATCATGCACTAAGACTTAAAAATAAGAAAGTGAACAAAATAAAAAGAAAAGAAAAGGAAAAGCACCTGAATGGTTCTGACTCATGTACATCTAAGGCTGCCCCTCGTATCCTTCCTTCCTTCAGGGCCTGTGCAAGTGCTTTTTCGTCTACTAACCCACCTCGAGCTGTGTTGACCAGGAAAGCCCCTTGTCTCATCTAGGGAAAGTTAAAAACAAGAATGATGAAATAAAAATAAATGAAATAAAATCGTTGTGGCATTATTTTTTACTCAAAAGAAGCATCCATTACAACAAAGGCTATTCAGCTGGTTTAACCTGTAACAGTTGTCTTCCCTTTCCATTGGAAAGTACCACAAAATGTGACGCTTCTAACATAAAATGCTATTTCACAGCACTTAATAACCTTTTGTTTCTTGTAAGTAGTGTCTTTAAATAGAAGCGTTGTTTCAGGTACTGTGCAGTAACATGATCAAAAGATACAACTGTGCATATGAAAGTGACAGATCATTTTATGCCTTTTTATTTCACTGTGAAATTGCATGAGACAGGAACTACAGCACATTCTTAAACAAATTCATATTTTGTGGTTTTCAACTTTCACACAAATAAAAGTCTACATGAATTTTTCAGAAAAATCAGTGCTTCAGGATTTTCAAACACTTTTCCCTTTAGTTGCCAAAACACAGTACATCTATGTTTTATTTATTTTTGTTACTTCAGCTTCCTCCTCCTTGTGAGGCTTTTCAAATAAAGGTCTAAAGAATTCGTATGTTATTCAATTAAAAGGCATGAAAATGAATTTGGTTGAGAACACTGCGTGCCCAGGAGAGAAGCTGTGCTGTGCACTGTGCAGATTAGCATTGTAGATGACACTGTGTGGGGAGAACTACAAGAATGCACACCATAATATATCCACAACATGAAAACAAAGTGGCGGTTTAAATAAGAGAGATGGTACGGAAAAAAAATAAATTACTACATCCTGCTTCCAGCCACCCTGATACTTCATCTTTTACCAGATGTCTCAAACACAGCTTCTGATCTCAGAAGCCTTTCTGTGTGTGACGGTAAGCATATGAAGAGCGGGAACCATGGTGAAGATGAATGATAAAAGTCCCATTTTGTACCGAGTCCATCTCTTGCCATAAGAACAAGAAAACCCCAACATTTTGACAAAGTCAAATAGTTGAAACCTACACATCAAACTAAAGCCTATGTAAACTGCTCCTTATGCTGAAAGATTGATTTAAAATACCAAATTCATGAACCAGAAAGTTTAGATGAAAGTCAGCCATGAGAGTTTTGTTTTACATGAAACCATTCCATAGGAAATATTAAACAATTAACATGCATACGCTTGCAGTAAGATTATAAGAAGGAAATCCACCCATATTTTGCTGGCCAGCTCCCTGGGTTTAGTGTGGCCCTGCCTCTCTCCACCTGCAGACTCTCGGGCTTACGGAAGAACCATCTATCGGTCTGCATAGCAAAACCAAAGTCCACTTACAGGAGCAGAACTAAGGGACGCTTCTGTTAGTTTTATGTAATTAACTTGGGAATTAGAACAGTGAAGAAATGGTGGCATGATCTAGTAACAGCAAGATGTTCCTGATGGGAACTATCACTGCATCTCCACTAAAGTCAGCTGAGAGAACTAGATCAAAACTAGCACAGGAGCGCTCACCCAAGTGACTATGGCACTTGCTATGCAGACATGTCATACAGGCTTGTGGGAGCTTATACACCTCGCTTACTTCTGTGCTCTTGCAAACAGACAACTTAAGTACAGTCTAGTGTATTTATAAGGCCTTTGAAGGGCTTGAAAATTTTAATCAAAGTGAACCCTGCTAAAATCTTCTGTCCAACCTTAATAACCTTGCTTGAGTTTTCATTTTAGGGCTATTTACAAAACTCTCAATCTAGTACTAAGACAAGTCCAAATCAAACAGCACATGGCTGCATAAATGCATTCTAGTGGGAATGAATTACGTGACTCATGATAAACTGTAAGGGTGGATGCAGCTGGAGATGACCCTGAACAATGGGTGGAAGCCTGACAGAGTTTCACAGCTAGAACTGCTGACAGCTCTTAAATCTACCTACACTGAACCTGCAGAGCTGCTTTAAAAATGTATTGCGTTGAACTTGCAGCGTCTGTTTCTCAAATCTGTAACACTAAAGATGACCTCAGCTTCTCTTAAGAGCACTTGATTACCATGGGTCCAATAAAGACAAGCCTGAAACACTTCTCTGAGCTATTCTGAGACTACAAGGCCAAGCAGGACAGCTAGGCAGAGTGCTGACTAATTAAAAGGAAAAGCTTCTGAAAGAGAAGACAGACATCAAATTTTCAAAGAGATTTTTAAGGTTATGTAATTTCAGATTCTACACAAAATTCAGGGTGCGACTTCAGTGAAATGAGACGCACCACACTTCTCTGTACTTTGTTTAAAAACTGGTTATTACATGAGCATGCAATATTGGACAGAAGTGGCATGCAACACTAAGAATTTTAGGCCAACTCTAACATCTGCCAGGCTAAAAAAAGCTGTTCTGCTCATTTCGATACATATTCAGAGGACCTGCTCTGCGCAAACTAAGCAGTCAGAGGTGTTACAATTTTACGGTTCTCACATCAGCTGTTACAATACAGACTGCTTCATCCAAACTTTTATCCAAAGCAAGAACTATCTTCTAACATTTTAATCCTTGCTTTAATCATGAAGGATAACGAACAGCATGGTAATTGCTTACAACATCCTTTCCATTACAGATTATCATATGCAGTTCATTTCAGATGGTATCACTCAGTTTTAACATGTTTTGTTTTGTCTGTTTCTCCGATTAATGCACTAAGCCCTCTCCAAAGCTCATCACATTTATCCATCTGCACTCAAAAACTTCCTGTGATACACTGTCCCAAGTTTCACAGTGCACTGTATAATGAGTGACCACTGCTAAGCCTCCAGACGGTCCCACGGAATTCAGTGTGATTTTATTTGGGTCTAGATACCTGCTTGCAAAGACATCTCACCATGTAATAACCATTAAATGTACCTGAGCACACAAAAGAGAATGTTCAGGGGAGGGTGACAGACCTCTGTTCTCTTAGAGATTTGCGTTTTAAACTTCTTAACTTTTTAGAGTTTTAAATCCCAAACCCTGATCTTGTGTTGGGATGGATCTGCAAAACCCCTAAACTCTCAAATCAAGAAGTGTGTGTTACATTGTCAGTTCTCTGCCAT